AGTACATGCGTACTCAGGTCTGATGATGGGTGCTGTGAGTAGGAAATGAAGGGCCGTGGCCAGTTTGGCTCAGTGGTGAGGGCATCGGCCCATGGACTGAAGGGTCGTGGGCCGATTGCTCTATCCCCGGCCCTGGTTGGCGCACATGGGGGAGGCAACCAACCAATCCATGTGTCTCTCTCACACGGATGTCTCTCTCTCTTCCCCTCCCTCTCTCCCTTTTCCCTTCCCTCCACTCTCTCCAAAAAAATAAATTAAATAAATAGAAAGAATATCCTCAGGTGAGGATTAAAAAAAGAAGAAGGAAATGGAAGAATACGAGGGGAAAGGCTATGAAGGGACCTATTTTAGTTTGGGAGATCAGGGCTTCTTTGAGGAGGTGACTTAGGTAGAGACAAAGCAAGGGAGGTTTCCAGCCATGATGGACTATCTCATGTCAGAACAATCTTTATGCTGAGACCAACTGGAAACAATGCACACCCAACACAGAGATATAAAGCAGTCTATTTGAATACATCAAAGAGCAGCCAGAATCGCAGAGCAAAGGGCAGCTTATTCTGCAGGAGGGGCCGGAAGGCTAAGGAAGCAGCCAGAAAGCACAGGCGAAGAGGTTGGGAGTCGGAGCTGAGTTCAGCAGCATCGTGGGGCGGGAGACAGAAATGGAGTCTGGGGCTACTGAGGCAGTGAGGACTCAAGAGGCCAAAATCCTGGGGACAAGGGAAGAAGAACATTGAGGTGAGTCCAGCATTGTGCTCCTCTTTTCCTCTGGGAAAACAAAATGATGTTCAGGGTGTCCTCAGAAGGACGGGTCCCATAAATACCTCACTTAGGACCCAAATAGATTTACAAGTTAGAGTAAGGGTCACGGGCAAGTAGACTCATCCACAAGAAGACCAGAACTCAGTTTCAAACTCAATCCCACACTGGATTAAAAAAAATGTTCTTATTGATTTGAAAGAGAGAGAGAGAAACATTGATGTGAGAGAGAAACATTGATCGGCTGCCTCCCACACTCACCCTGACCAGAAATTGAACCCACAACCTAGCCATGTGTCCCGATCAGAAATTAAACCATTAACCTTTCAGTAGACAGGATGATGATCAACCAACTGAGCCACACCAGCCAGGGCCCACAGGGGATTAATAAGATCCCTACTCTATCTGCTTGCTAGGAAGCAAAAGTAGGGGAGCCCGAGCCACAGTCCTATTTCCATTTAAATTGGTTAAAATTACCTTTAAAGCACCATTCACCAGTCTTACTAAACACATTTCAAGTGCTCCGTAGCCACATTCGGCCAGTGGCTACCGCATTGAAGAGCACAGGTACAGACCATTTCCATCACAAAATGTCATTGTGCAGCACTGTTCTAGAATCCAGAGGGAACATTTTCCAGAGCCTGAGAAAATCTCTACAATTCAATAAAAACTTTACAAGCCTATCGGGACGAAAGGGCTGCACACCAGGAGGAAAACAAAGCATCGACATGGTCACAGATGAACCAGATGTAGGAGTTTCAGGCATGGACTTGATCATCAACGTGTTCAAGAAAATAGATGCTAAAAAAAAAAAAAGATGCTAAAATGGGGGCTTTCGCTGTCAAACTGGAACACTTAAAAGAAGAACTAGGCAGAATGGAATGACTGGCACCACACTTACCCTCCTGCTGTGAACACCTATCAAACCAGAGATACCATGCTTGACAACTCACCCCGCCTTGCTCCAGATATAGCTCTTCCTCCCAATCGCCTACCGTGATGACCAACACCAACACCAAACCCCCCCCCCACCAGCCACCCAGCTGTGTGCCCACAGAGGCAAAGGCTTCCCCAAGAACTTCCTGTGAGCTTCCCCTTTCGACTTCCACATTGGCAGCTGGACACCTTGGCTTTTCATATTCTCGACCGGCTCTCACGTCCACCACTCCTGCGCTTCAGGTGAGCTGCTCCGTGACGCTGTCTCTCACCCTCCCGCGCGCTCCAGAACAGCACTTCCTGGCTCCTGGCACATGGTCTAAGGTCTGGGTCTTCTAATAAAACCCGTCTTCTCATAGTTCTCTGGGTGGCTGTCTCCCGGATCGCACCACATCTGATACACAATGACAAATTACACAGACTACAATGTAGACCCTGGGTAGGATTCTCCTCTTCCAGGTATAGTTACTGTGGCCTGTAGCAGGTGGGTCACTACAATCCAATCAGGGACTGAGGGAATTCAAAACCCGGCTGCCATCCCTATGGGGGTCTCATCTATTTCCAGCCCAAGGTCCTCAGTCATCTCCTGAAGGTTTGGCCTGGTCTTCAGGGCATAAGAGGACTGTGGAACTTGGTAATTGAGTGCCACCTCCAAGCTTTGGTGAGCCGGTCCCTTGTCAGGAACGCCCTCCCTTTCCCATCTTCCTGTGCAAATCCTCCAGGATCCTCCTGGAAGCCTCGGATTCATCCACCCCGGCCCACACCGCACCCCCTGGCCTGGCCCTCACCGGTGCCCATTCATGCTCTGGGTCTCATTTGGTAATTCAGTCCCACCTCCAAGCTTTGCTGGGCTGGTCCCTGGTCAGGAACGCCCTCCCTTTCCCATCTTCCGGTGCAAATCCTCCAGGGTCCTCCTGGAAGCCTCGGATTCATCCACCCCGCCCACACCCCACCCCCTGGGCTGGCCCTCACCGGTGCCCATTCATGCTCTGGGTCTCATTTTTCCTAACTGGACTGAGCTTTGAGGTCAGAGACCAAATCTCCCTCCCCTCCAGATAGCACAGCATCATTCATCCAACATTTACTGAGCCCCTAATGTATACAGGGGCGGTAAAAATATAAATAAATAAAATAAAAGACAAAGCTCTCACTTGTGGAGCTTACAGTCCATGGGAGAGAGACAACAGAGAAGTACATGCGTACTCAGGTCTGATGATGGGTGCTGTGAGTAGGAAATGAAGGGCCGTGGCCAGTTTGGCTCAGTGGTGAGGGCATCGGCCCATGGACTGAAGGGTCGTGGGTCGATTGCTCTATCCCCGGCCCTGGTTGGGGCACATGGGGGAGGCAACCAACCAATCCATGTGTCTCTCTCACATTGGTGTCTCTCTCTCTCTTCCCCTCCCTCTCTCCCTTTTCCCTTCCCTCCACTCTCTCCAAAAAAATAAATTAAATAAATAGAAAGAATATCCTCAGGTGAGGATTAAAAAAAGAAGAAGAAGGAAATGGAAGAACATGAGGGGAAAGGCTGTGAGGGGTCCTCTTTTAGCTTTGGAGATCAGGGCTTCTTTGAGGAGGTGACTTCGGTAGAGGCAAAGCAAGGGAGGTTTCCAGCCATGATGGACTATCTCATGTCAGAACAATCTTTATGCTGAGACCAACTGGAAACAATGCACACCCAACACAGAGATATAAAGCAGTCTATTTGAATACATCAAAGAGCAGCCAGAATCGCAGAGCAAAGGGCAGCTTATTCTGCAGGAGGGGCCGGAAGGCTAAGGAAGCAGCCAGAAAGCACAGGCGAAGAGGTTGGGAGTCGGAGCTGAGTTCAGCAGCATCGTGGGGCGGGAGACAGAAATGGAGTCTGGGGCTACTGAGGCAGTGAGGACTCAAGAGGCCAAAATCCTGGGGACAAGGGAAGAAGAACATTGAGGTGAGTCCAGCATTGTGCTCCTCTTTTCCTCTGGGAAAACAAAATGATGTTCAGGGTGTCCTCAGAAGGACGGGTCCCATAAATACCTCACTTAGGACCCAAATAGATTTACAAGTTAGAGTAAGGGTCACGGGCAAGTAGACTCATCCACAAGAAGACCAGAACTCAGTTTCAAACTCAATCCCACACTGGATTAAAAAAAATGTTCTTATTGATTTGAAAGAGAGAGAGAGAAACATTGATGTGAGAGAGAAACATTGATCGGCTGCCTCCCACACTCACCCTGACCAGAAATTGAACCCACAACCTAGCCATGTGTCCCGATCAGAAATTAAACCATTAACCTTTCAGTAGACAGGATGATGATCAACCAACTGAGCCACACCAGCCAGGGCCCACAGGGGATTAATAAGATCCCTACTCTATCTGCTTGCTAGGAAGCAAAAGTAGGGGAGCCCGAGCCACAGTCCTATTTCCATTTAAATTGGTTAAAATTACCTTTAAAGCACCATTCACCGGTCTTACTAAACACATTTCAAGTGCTCTGTAGCCACATTTGGTCAGTGGCTACCGCATTGAAGAGCACAGGTACTGACCATTTCCATCACAAAATGTCATTGTGCAGCACTGTTCTAGACTGTTCTAGAATCCAGAGGGAACATTTTCCAGAGCCTGAGAAAATCTCTACAATTCAATAAAAACTTTACAAGCCTATCGGGACGAAAGGGCTGCACACCAGGAGGAAAACAAAGCATCGACATGGTCACAGATGAACCAGATGTAGGAGTTTCAGGCATGGACTTGATCATCAACGTGTTCAAGAAAATAGATGCTAAAAAAAAAAAAAAGGCCAATGAGGACTCGCTCAGAGCTCGGTGCTGGCCAGAGGCATCACAGCCCCTGGGGGAGGGGGGTGGGGAGAAGTCCAGGACTCATTGCTGAAGCATGAGGAGACCTTGCGGCCTGATTAACATTAACGGCTGGATGAGCATCCCCAGGCAGAGCAGGAAGAAGACAGGCGATGGGGTTTGAGAGACGGGATGGGCCGGCTCTCACGTCCACCTGCACCTGTGCTGCAGGTGAGCTGCTCCGTGACGCTGTCTCTCACCCTCCCGCGCCCTCCAGAACAGCACTTCCTGGCTCCTGGCACATGGTCTAAGGTCTGGGTTTTCTAATAAATCCCGTCTTCTCATAGTTCTCTGGGTGGCTGTCTCCGGGATCGCACCACGTCTGATGCACAATGACAAATTACACAGACTACAATTTAGACCCTGGGTAGGATTCTCCTCCTCCAGGCATCGTTACTGTGGCCTGTAGCAGGTGGGTCACTACAATCCAATCAGGGACTGAGGGAATTCAAAACCCGGCTGCCGTCCCTATGGGGGTCTCATCTGTTTCCAGCCCAAGGTCCTCGGTCATCTCCTGCAGGTTTGGCCTGGTCTTCAGGGCATAGGAGGACTGTGGAATGTGTTGGTCTCTTCCATAAATGAGAAGATGTAGATGATTCTACAGTAAACCCGTAAATTTCAGGATGAGAGAAGGTCAGAGCATGCGGATACACAGGCACTATGTCCTACACCGTGTCCCCAATCCTCAATACCTGCAGCTTCAAGGAAATGGAAGAACATGAGGGGAAAGGCTGTGAGGGGTCCTCTTTTAGCTTTGGAGATCAGGGCTTCTTTGAGGAGGTGACTTCGGTAGAGGCAAAGCAAGGGAGGTTTCCAGCCATGATGGACTATCTCCAACAGCAACAGCTTGGGCTTGGAGGGACCAAGTCCAGGACCGCTGACATCACGGATCAGTCCTTTCTCTCTGACGACCAGGGGAGATGGCAGAGCAGCAGACATCAATGGCTCTTTCTGGGTTGGGCTTCCCCCCAACACCTCCCCCTCTCAGGAACTTTCTTCTCCCCAGTGACAACCAGGAAGTAAAGGCTGAGCTTCTCACCCCAGGTATGGTGACAACCTGTCATGATGGCCCCTTTCCATCCCACTCCCCCCTCCTGTCACCTGTCCCAACTGTTAATCCTCACACACCCTCATAGAATGGATGGAATGTGGTCTCTCTCTGCTTTCCCAGAATTCTTGAGACATCTCTCTGGGAGCAGAAGGGCCTGGAAGCCAGGACCTACCTGACACCGAATCCTCTCTCTGTTCTGGCCCAGAGACCAGCTCCGGTCACACAAGAAGCCTCATGAAGCGATGGCTGAACTCATACTCATCCCAAGGGGCCCCTGATGGGCAAAGGCTAGAACTGAACCCAGCTGCAGATGCTCCAGCTGCAGATGCGAGTGTGCTGGTTTGTGGGTTTCTGGTGTCAATTTCACTTCAGAAAGCTACTGAACTTGGGTGTGGTTGTCAGTCTATTCTCATGGTTCCCATTGTAATGGGGTGACCCGCAGAGACGACCACCAGGACTCAGATCAAAATTTAGGAGCTGGCCAGCGACTACAGTTACACCACCCTGCTGAAGCAGAGGCTGAACTGCAGCGCTAACTGCAGGAGTTACAGCATTTTTATTTGCAAAAACCACAAAGTTACAAAACCTTAGTTCCCGACACAGTACAGCATTACAGTGACTACCTTCCTATCTATGTGTTCTAGGAACAGAGAATACAGCATGCTGGGAAGGGGCCATGAGACCATATCTCAAGGCCTGGCCTGATGTCAGCACATTCCTATCTATGTGTTTTAGGAACAGAAAGCACAGAGCACCCGTCTGGCTGAAGCACCAGATATGCAGCCCAGCACACCATGAGCCCTGCACTCACACCTTCTAACGTCTAAACAGTTCTTTCAGCCACAAAAGGCCTGTCCTTTTTTTTTAACTTTTTTTTTTATTGCTTAAAATATTACAACGAGTAGTACATTTAGGCCTCTCCTTTTTTATTGTCTCTATTGAATCTCCCTCCGCTTACCCCACTCATCTGAGCTGAAGAAGTGGACTTGGCACAGTGCCAGGCAAAGAAAAAGATCTCAGATCATGTTTTCTGTTGTCCAGAGCTCCTTGACAGTACAAGAAATGGGTTTAAAGCAAAAGCAAAATGATGGGGAGGAAGTAAGGGAAGGGCAGGAGTCTGACAGGTTTTCTGGAGGGAATGAGAGTAGACTCAGCCCTGAGGGGCAAGGGGCCCAGTGACCTCTCAGAAATGCATTGGGTCTCTGAAGCCGTCTCCTCTTCCCTAGGATGAGGGAGGTCCCAGGGGGAGACTGAGGAGGAGTTTGGCTGCACCTCTGTCCTGTAGGACAGAATGTCACCAGCCTCACTCCCTGGCCTTACCTCCACATGAGTCAGGGCAAGGTTCAGCCTCCAGGGGACCATCCATCCAGCTGGGGAGCTCCTGGCCAGAGGGTTGGCGCTGTCCCTGGTCCTGGAGCACACCTGGGCTCAGCTCTGCCAAGGTTCCCAACTCACCAGCCAGAGGTCCCCAGGCTTAGGACAGCAGGGCACCTAAGTCCAACGGGCTTTGGAAAGGCTGGGTTCCTCTTGGGAAGGAAAGTCAGGAGAAAGGGTGGGAGTGGGCTGGGCTCATCTCTGTGCCTTTCCTCTCACCCCTCTGGTTGCCTTATTCTTTTGAACTTGTGCCAGCAAAATGCTGAGATTCCACTTAGCATTTGCCACCAAAATGTCACAAAAAAGAGGAAGTTCCCCCAATGAATTACTACATGTCTTAGGGGACCTACCAATCTACTACGGCCACCATTAAGAATTAAGATGTCAGTTTGGCCTTCACAGAGGGTAGTTTTAGGAGGACGTTGGGACAGCAGGGGCCTGGGGAGGAAGCTGGGCCTGAGGAGGAAGAATGTGCAGACACTGCTAATGACAAGAAGAAATACTGATCAAGTGTGTTTACTGCCCACCGGCTGGAAAGACTGTTAGCTGTTTGCATATATTCTTACTGGCACTAGAAATATAGGAATTCACCTTACACCATAAATATTGTGGGGAGAGTGAGCTACTCAATACGTTCATAAATAAAGTTGAGCATTTGCCTTGGCTATGCACTGTGCTAGGTGCTAGAGATTCAAAAGTGAACAGAGCAACCCTGGCCGGGTGGCTCAGTTTATTGGAGCGTCGTCCCATCGACAAAAAGGTTGTGGGTTCTATTCCCTGTCAGGGCACTTACCTACATTGCAGACCTCCCAGACAGGTTGGATGCAGGAGGCAGCCAATCGATGTTTCTCTCTCACATTGATTCAGGTTGGATGCAGGAGGCAGCCAATCAATGTTTCTCTCTCGCTCTCTCTCTCACTCTCCTTCTCTCTCTCTCTCTCAAAATCAACTTTAAAAAGTGAGCAAAGCAGATTTGACACTGCCTTCAGAGTGAACCAGGACATTCTGTGGAGCCTCAGTCTCTTCAGCTGTATAATGGAACAGAACACCATTACTCTGAGGTGACCTCAGGGCTGTTGTGAGGATAGGGAGGAGCTTTGGGGACCTGGACGGCCCCATTTCTGCCAGGACTCATGTCTCTTCATCATTGACTCAACCCTACCCACACCTCCCCTCACTATTTCAGGGCAAGACAGGTTGTGCCATGATGATTCTCTCTCATCATTGATGTTTCTGTCTCTCTCTCTCCCTCTCCCTTCCTCTCTGAAATAAATTATATATATTTAAAACTACTTCTAGTTTGTAACTTATACATTCTTATTTTATTATGTACAGTCACTACCATAAAAATTACGACATCATAATTAACTTACCAAAGTTTTAGCAAATGAACACTTCTCTCTCCTCCTAGGTAATATGTACATATTAGGAAATGTACATATTACATATTCCCCACCACAGCTACTTTGGACTTAGCCATTATTACTGTTGAGAATTTAAATCTATATTTTTATTCTACAGGCAATAATTTCCCCATTTATTTGTTCCAAAACATCTGTATTACTTCCTCATTTTTGAATTCTCTCTGCTGAGTATAAATTATAAAGTGACATTTAAAGATCGTATCTGCTTTCTTCTGCTTTCCATGGTTGCTCCTGAAAAGTCAATTAAACTGCTCTGAGCGAGTCCTCATTTGCCTGCACGCTTGATCTCTGAGTACTCAGGGCTGCCGGTGGCCTCCAGGTTCTGAGGCTCCCGTGTCTTCATCTCATAAAAGCTGAGGTTGGCGTAGAGCTCTTGTTGCTCCCCGGAGGGAGGGGCATCCTTGGCGGGGGGCGCTTGGTCTGGAGGCCTGTCTGGCCCTAGCAGAATGGTGGACTTTCATCTCCAAGACCATCCTCCTTCCTGCTCAACCCTGCTGTTCTTTTCTTTTTAATTGTTTTTAATTTTTTGAGACTATTGCAGATGTTGACTAGACCATATCAAGGGCCTACTGATCATATTTCATTCCCTCAGAAACTCAGTAAGCATGATACTCTCATTATCCCCATTTACAGATAGAGAAGCTGCGGTAAAGGGAGGTGAAGTCACATACCCACAATGGGAAGGAAGTAATAGTTTGGGGGAGATGGTTCTGGCAGCCTGTGCCTATCAGAGAGGTGAGGTGGGCTCAGTGGTCAGTGTGGCTGGGGCAGGAGGCTGACCATGGGTTCCGGGAAATGAAGGGAAAGTCAACTCCCAGCTGCCTGTCCAGCTGACCACAGAGGAGCGGGTGTGGACTCCTTAATGGACATGCCCAGTCCCCCCTACACTGTATGAGAAGACACCACCATCACTCACCCAGGTTACTGTGCCCATGACAGGGTCTTCATCATTCGTGACCTTTGTTCTCCCAGCTGCTTGCCTCCTGCGGGCTTTCACTCTAAGGGAAGAAGTCAGCAGCCAGAATGGCTCAGGCACAGGAGGGCAGCTGCACCCACTCCCTGATGGACAACGGAGGCATCCAGGCTGAGGCCAGACTTGGAGACCCTCCTAACATGCAGGTGAGGACCCCGTCCCCCTGGATGCCCAGGGGTTTGGCCAAGACTGAATGTTCATCACCGAGGCTCCTCTCACACGCAGAGACTTGTACACGAGCCATCATCGGTGTAATTCATGGTAGCGAAAAAGTTCAAGCAACCCAAATGTCCGTCAATGAATGAACAGACAAATCAAATGTGCCCCATCCATACCATGGAATATTATTTGTAAATAAAAAGCAATAGAGTGCTGACACATAAACCTTGAAAATGTCATGGCCCTGGCCAGTAGCTCAGTGGTTAGAGCGTCGGCCTGCACACTGAAGTTCACAGGTTCAATTCATGGTAAAGGACATGGACCTGGGTTGCAGGTTCCATCCCCATCTCTGGTCGGGGCTTGTAGACAAGAAATCTATGAACGTGTCTCTCTGACATCGATGTTTCTCTCTTTCTCTCTTCCTCTTTCCCTTCCACTCTCTCTAAAAATCAATGGAAAAATATTCTTGGATGAGGATTAACAAACAAAATAATTATTATAATAATTAAAGGAAATATCGTGTTAAGTGAAAGAAGTCAGTCACAAAGGACCATGTGTTGTGTGATTCCATTTATATGAAATGTCCAGAAGAGACAGGAAGCAGTTAGTGGATGCCTAGGGCTGGGAGAGGATGGAAACAAACTAAAAGTTAGATGATGTGCGTGTCTTTTGCTTTTTTTATTATTATTTCAAGCAAATGAAACGTTTAAAATGGACTGTGGTGATAGGTGCACAGCTGTGTGACTGAAGGAAAAGCCACTGAATTGTATACTTTAAATATATGGGAATTTTGCCTCAATAAAGCTGCTACCCTCTCCAGCCCTTCCAAAACAGTCCCCTCTGGATGTACTCAGCTCTGCACCTCCCTGCCACAGAGGCTCACCTGCAAAAGGAGAGGAGACACAAGCACAGGGACAGCAGGGCCAGGGCTCCAGCACCTCCGAGAGCCACAGGAACCACTCCCGCCTGGGGCACCGCCTTCCCTGCAGAGAACAGGAGCGTGAGACACCCACTAGCTGGACTCGGTCTCTCCTCTTTCCACCTCCTCCCAGCACCCGCTGTCGGTTCAGTCAGGCAGGAGATGCAGGCCCTGTCCTAGCAATCCCCCCTGTCCCCGC